GAGCCCGACGGGCTCTTTCTGGGGTTCTGGTCCTCCCACCAGGGTGTATCTGGTCGCTGACTGGTCAGCTCAGCCCAAGACTTATTAGTCCTGCCCTTTATGGGAGAGGAGGAAACGCTGCGTGCGACCCACAGTCTGGGAAGGAACGAGGCCGACCTCCCTCTGCCCAGCTTCGGGTGCACAGAGCTGGGTGGCTGTGGTTGCTCCCGTCCGCCCTGCCCCCTCCAGGCTGGAAGCCCGGGGCACCCACGCTTGTTCTCTGAAGCCCACCTTTGTGGTGTCCCACGGACCCCACTGCAGTGGTCTTGTCAATGCAAGTTTATATCTCTTACCAGCTGGAATCACTCCTGTGTGCACAGCTCAGGGACATTAAGCACATGCATGCAGCAGTCACCACCGTCATCTCCAGAACTTCCCGTCTTCCCCAACTAGAACTCCGTCCCCTTTAAACACTCACTGCCATCCCCCCCTCCGGCCCCTGCACCGCCATCCACTCTCTGTCTCTGTGGATCTGACTCCTCCAGGGACCTCCTGTGAGTGGAATTCACAGCATTTGTCCTGAGTCTGGCTCCTTTCACTCAGCATGACGTCCTCCAGGTCCATCCATGTAGCAGGTTTCAGAGCTTTGTTGTCCCTTTTAAATTTTAATTTTTTAATAATTCTTACCCGAGGACATGCTTAGAGGGAAGGGGGTGGGGAAGAGAGACATCAATCAGTTGCCTTCTGTACCCTCCCTGACGGGGGCTCAAACCCGTCACCCAGGCAGGTGCTCTGACAGGAAATGGAACTGGCAGCCGTCTGCTGCTCAGGATGACACTCAACCAACCGAGCACGCGGCCGGGCGTCGTTCCTTGAAGGCTGGGTGACATTCCTGCGTGTGAGAGAGACGTGGTGTTTATCCGTCTGTCCGTCGGTGGGACCCTCAGGTGCTTTTTACCTCTTAGTGGGTGTCAGTCGTGCTGCTGTGAACATGGGTGTGCAGACACCTCTTTGAGAGCCTGCTCTTGATTTCTTTGGGGACACGCCCAGAAGTGGGGTTGCTGGAGCCCGTGGTCACTCCATGTGTGACTCTTTGGGGAACTGCCATAGTGTTTCCACAGCGGCTGCACCATTTTACATTCCCACCAGCAGCGCACAGGGGTCCAGTTTCTCATGTCCCGACACTGGTAATTTTCTGTTTGGACGGTAGCCATTCAGCAGGTGTGAAGCATTACCTCGGGGCCACTTGAATTGCGTTTCTGTGATATGACGTGTCGAGCAACTTCCCGGCTGCTTATTGGCCACCTGTATATCTTCTTGGAGACCTTTCGGTTCAAGTCCTTTGCCATTTTTGAACTGAGTTTGGTGTTTTGTTGTTGAGCTCAGGGTTCTTTGTATATTCTGGGCATTAACCCTGTGTCACATAAACAATCTGCAAATATTTTCTGTTCTGTGGGTGCCTTTTTTACTCTGTTGATATTATAGTGTCCTTTGAGGCACAGAAGTTTTTTTTATAAAGTCCAATTTATCCATTTACTCTTCTGTCACCTGCCTTTAGTGTCATAGCCAAGAAATCATTGCACAATCCAGTGTCTAGAAGCTTAGCTCCTGTTTCCTTCTGAGGTTTTACATTAAGTTCTCAGGTCCATTATGAGTTACCCTTGCGTGTGGTGTGAGGTGGGGGTCCAAGTTCACTCTTCTGCGTGTGGACGTCCAGCTCTCCCAGCCCCGTTTGTTAAAAACACTGTCCTCTCCCCATGAGCGGTCCTGGCGCCCTTGTTGGAAGTTGTGTGACCACAGGTGTGAGGGTTCACTGTGGGCTTCTGTTCTGTCCCATTGGTCTCTGTGTCTGTTGGTTCTGTCCCATTGGTCTCTGTCTCTATGCCAGCACCACCCTGATTCGATCTCTGCAGCTTTGTGGTGGGTTTTAAATAGGGAGGTGTGGGACCTCCAGCTTCCTGCTCTTTCTCAAGATTGCCTTGGCTGTCCAGGGTCCCTTGAGATTCCACATGAACTTTAGGATTTTTTTTTCTTTTCCTGTATCTATTGCTTTGTGTAACTGACCCTGTAACAATATTAAGTTTTCTGATGCATGAACACAGGTATCTTTCTGTGTTTTGGTGTCTCGAGCGAGTCCACCTGGACTCGCTCTTCCCCACACCCCGCCCAGCGTACCCCGTTGCATTGTAGTTGTCACGTCTCCTCCTCAGGCTCCTCTGGGCTGCAACAGGTCCTCAGACGTCCCTGGTTTTTGAGGATCCTGGCAGTTTTGAGGATGCTGGTCAGGTGTTATGTAGAATGCCTCTCATTGGGCTTGTTTGATGTTTTCCTCATTATTAGACTGGGACTCTGGGTTTTGGGGAGGAGACTCCAGAGGTGAGGTGCCTTTCTGGTCATGTGCTATCTGGGGGCACCTGATGTCCACATGACATCCCAGGATTGGCCTGGGTCACCTGGTCAGGTGGTGGCCTGTTTCTCCCTTTTCCTTTATTTGGAAGCAGATCACTAAGCCCAGTCCTCCCTCAATAGGGGTCCATTCCCCTTTGGGGGGACATGGCTGCCCAGATGCTCTGGGATTGTGGATGAAGCAGCTGCACTTTCTCTCTGCCCCTTCCTGCCAGGGAAGCCTCTGGCTGCTTCCAGACCCTGACTCATGTGGGCCCCTGGGCCGGAGTGCTCATCACAGGAGACTGCAGGCGCAGCCCCCTCTCTCTGCAGCCCAGGCCGGGCACAGAGCAAGGGGAGCAAAACACCTGGTCCTCTCAGATGATGGGAACTCACTCACAATGCCCCACGTGGGCCAAGGCCACTCAGACAGCTAGAGAGAGACAGCTGGACTGGCTCAGGCCCCTGCTTGATGGACACTGATTGCTGTCCACACAGCAGGCTTGGTCAGAGCAACAAGCCGGGTGGCAGGGAGTAGGTAGGGTCCTGGGTCTTCTGGGCACCCTGCCTTAGCCTCTTCTCTTTCCCTGCTAGGCCATGGCATATGCCTCCGAGGATGGGGTCCTCACCGAGGCCATGATGGACGCCCGGGTCCAGGATGCCATCCAGCAGCACCAGCAGAAGATGCAGTGGCTGAAGGCTGAGAAAGCCAGGCCTGAGGGCAGCCAGCCCTCACTTCCAAGTGCAGAGACTGTGTGAGCTGGGCCTCAACACCTGGGGTGCACTGGCTGGGTCACATCAAGAGGAAGTACCTAGGTGCCTGTGTCTCCAGGAGGCCACTGAGGGTGCTGCACAGCTGCTCACCTCTCCGGCATTTTTTATTATTTCTCTGGTCAGGGCAAAGGCAGCATTAAAGGCCTCTGCTTAGGACCAGTTGCGGCTGTGTGTCTTCGCGGTTGGGATCTGCCTCCTCCAAGCTGTGCTTTTGGCTGGAGAGGGTCAGGCTGGAGCCACCCCTAGGACACTCCTGGGAAATGTGTCTCCACTCAGGTCCAGAGCAGAAGGCATAGCCCTGATGCCCAAGGGCAGTGACGAAGCTGACCCCGCCCGATGGCTGGCTGTTGCAGCTGTGACCTGAAGTAGTTGGGAGCCTGACCTTGCCCAGTCCCTCCTGGACCCAGCGAGGGTTGAGCGGAGCAGACCTCATGGTGCCCTTCACATCTCTGACCTGTGTCCTTGGGTACATGGTGAGGGCTGCACCTGAGGCTGGAGCCCCCTGGCCTGCTGTCTAGGGTTGCCCGGTGCTGGGGAACTGCCCTGGCCCAGGCAGCCTTCCTCTGTTGGAGCTGGGTGTTTCTGTCCAGAACCTAATAAAAACTGTGACAGGTACCTCGGTGTCTCTCTCATGGCTGATGTGAGGGGCGGGGCTTGAAGGGGTCACGGAGTCAATGGTGAAAGAAGAGGCAGAGGCTGGAGCTTTCTGGAGAATTTACTGACCAGCAGGGGTGGGGGTCACAGTGAGGCTCCGACCAGGGATGCCCTGGGCAGGGTGGCCGCACTTGCCACAGCAGGGCTCAGGGGCCTTATTGCTTCTGGGC